AAGCGAAAGGCAGCTGTCCCTGTCAAGGCAGGCGCCCCCGAGATTCGGGCAAAAGGAGACTGCGTGGCAGGCCATATAATGCGTGAACACTACGGAGTCGGTACAATGATGGCAGGCCGTTCAATATCGTGCACGATAGGGAGCACAGCCGCCTCCTTGTGTTGACGGGGAGAACAAAACCAAATGGAATTAAATTAAATATTACATTTGACGATAAAGATATTTTATCTACAAGAGATAAGAGAAAGATAACTCACGCAATCTTTCATCGTGAGATAGTACCTTACGTAGATAAAGTAGCTATTTACTGTCTTTTATAATAAATTTCTATTACTAGTTACTTCACACACTTTAAGAATATCTTTTTAGCATTACATAATAATACTCATGAGCGATATTTATATATCGATACCAACGCACAACTACATCAGGGTTGGCGGAATTAATATCAAAGACGATGTATTAAGTGAGTCCTGAGAAATAGCGGATGTATGTTTTTGAATAATTGCATATTATTCTGGCTTCACTGCCACACAGATCTCTACAATAATCAGGTATCCACGTGGCGATTTCCCTCAATCACGAGCAAAGGTTCGTCAACGCTTAGAAATTGGGATAGGAATAGAACCCCGTCAAGGGTGGTTTGGCGGGGAAAGTAAAGCGGACGTTTTGACTTCCGCTGCTAAAGTGTTCTGGAGCTGCTGAATTTAAATTTCAAATTCGCCACTTCGTAAATGTTGGGCGCTCTGGCAAAAAAATAATAGTTTTACAATTCCCCCTTATAAATCGAAAACCAAGCACTCTTGGTGAATGATGTTCAACTGCAAAGTAAATAACGTAACATTTCCTGTGTCTCTTACATATTTTCCGTTAGACGCGTGGATAAGGTGCTACAGTAAGGCAAAATTTAACAAAAAATCCGCTCTCTGTCTAAAAACGCTTTTCTTAGACTTAGCTCAGAAAATTCGCCCTATTGGAGAAGTGAACACACACACACACACACACACACACACACAAGATATTAATATATTTTCTGCAAATTATTTATCGAGGCTTCTGCCGTGAGATGAACCGAGTAGGTGCTAGCGCGCCTTGAAATTTAGTGTATTTCGGTTGTTGCGACTAACACCTCAGTCAAACAAGTGTGGCTTGGAGGGAACAATATATAGAAGGTTTTTTTTTTCTTTTAGTTTTTCGAGGGTGTTGAATTTAAAAATTAATGTTGTTAACTAGTAAATGTGTGTATTTTTTGAAAACTGAAAAAGTATACTTTTTGCATTTTAAAATCTTGAAAACTAGGGTAGTAGTCTCTAAAGAAAGCAATGCGCCGTTATCAGAAATGTGTCTGCAAAATTATTTTAGTCGTTGGGCGGAGCCAGTCGGATATTGCATGTTTCATTCATTGTATTGCCATCCTACCTGGTCGAGGGGGTGGCACTAATATTTCACCGTTTCAAATTGTCCTTGACCACACACGTTACCATGCAGTTCCTTCATTCTCCTGCGACCGCTCATATCATCTCTAGTTCGATTGGGTTGACAAAAAAAGGTTCTTTGGCCTAACTTTTCAATCGACCGTGAAAATGGAAGTGTTGAGTCTTGTGCTCAGCAGAAACAGCTTTATGCCAAGCAATCGTCCCGCACACGTGAGGAAAGCTGCAGTGATGAGGTGTGTGGGCTGCGCGCATGATGGCCGTGCTGAGGTCGAGTAGTGCGAGGAGGGCGGCCAAATCCGCATCACGTGCGCTGCGAGCGCGTTTCGGTCACGGGCAGTGACTGAGCCCAGTGTTCTTTTACAAACAGGGGGCTGCTAACGTCTGCCCTGCTAGGAGCTCACAAGTCACGTGGAAAATGGAAAAGCCTAGGCACGCCTATCACGCTTTCAAGGGTATTTAACGTTCGCTTGTGCGCGGCAAACACTGCTGTAAAACAAATATTTCGTTAACAGCGCTTTATCCCTGTTTGTGTCAAAAACGTAAACATGTACTATGAAATAAACTCTTTGGAGAAAAAATATAGAACTCATTACACTAAATCAAAGGAAAAACAACAAATTTCGAGATAATCAGTAATATGTTTATATTTATCAATGAGCACAATTAAATATTCTAATTTTGTAGGGCTTCACACAATTCATATTTTCCATAATTACATTCACGAGAGAATTTTCCCCACAGAACACTGTAGGTTATTGAATTAAAATGCTTCTAACTCGTTTTATGTAATTGACACGGATTTCTAATAGTGAAAATGTAATGTTTATTCACACACACACGCTACATAATAAGGAAACAAAAACATTTTTTGGTTAATCTAAATATATTTTCCCACAATAAACGAAATGTTCGAAACCACGAGCACCTCAGACGTCTAAGTACGCTTTACATAATAATATTACATTATTACGACACTTGAGTAAAAAATTGCGTTTACAGGGAACCAACGTTTTCCAATTACACAACAGTGTTCCATTACATTTTTTTACGCTGAGCTTTAAAAGCTGCGGAATGAAACATAGTAGCTTAATATTTGTTAAAAATAGCGGTCAAGTCTCGGCGTCTAGCGCACATTTCGTGACGGCAAATTCACCACAATGCGATCGCACACTCGCAATGCGCCTTCCAAGCACGGCACATGAAACATTCCAAAAACCGTGGCGGGGGGGGGGGCGTTGGAACGGGGGGGGGGCGCAGCGGATCGAAGGCGCGAGAAGAGGGGGCCGGGCCGGGCCGCCCCGCATTTAATCAATTTGGAGCGAGGGAGTCATTAGGGCGCGCTGGACGCCCGCGGGGAGTCCATTATCCGAGACATTCGCCGCCACCCGAGACCCAGGGAGGGGGGGGGCGATGACGCCGCAGACGGGCTGGTCAGGGCGGCGAGCGGCGCCCGACGCCTCAAGCAATGGACGAACGCAATGTTGAAGCTATCAACACGACAACATACATTACCATGTTACATATACGTCTAGGTACACAATACACACACCAAAAGACGAAAAAAGAAAACTTTTTTACTTGAATATGTATAATGTAACACTCTATCAGAAATACTGAAGAAATATGAATAAAAAATACCATTATAACGGAATAGTTATCGAATGCTTCTATGAACACAAAACCTCACTAATTCTTCATTATTGTCGATGAGTAACGGAATCGCAATGACCTTTGACATCAGCCGGAGAATGTTCGTCGCCGGGGAAGAGGCGCTTGTCGCTCCGGGCATCCAGCGCCAGGGCCACGAGAAAGACGCCGCATGCGGGGGCGGCGAGGGCGGCCAGCGCTCGCCCCCGCGAGAAACCTTCAAATTGGTTTTAAGAGCACGCGCGGGCGCCAATAATGAAAACAGATGGGCGTTAGCAGTCACACATGTGGGCGCGAGCGGGGCGAGGGCAGGTGATGGACGGTGTGGCGTCGCGGCTGACGGCCACCCGCCGCGCCGGTAACTTAATAAAACGCGCGCTTCGGCCCCGATAATTGAAATCAATACGGCAATTTATACGGGCCCCGCGGCGCGCGACGGGTGACGCTGAGGGGATGTGGGGAAGCGGGGCGGACGCCAAGGCTCGGCGGTCGGCGAAGGTGTCACACGGCAAGGCCGATTCTCTGCTCTTACCACTTTCCTCGGCATACAAGGCCACACTGCCACCAACGCCAATGGCATACGATCAAATAAAGGTGTTGAAGCTTTAGCTCAGTTGCAGTGTCAATTCAAGCACGCAGAACTCACCTCCAACGTAGTGTATGAAATTATAAAATCTTCATTTTAAATTTGCGAAGCTGTACTATTTTTTTTATCCATTTCAAAACAAATTTCTTTTTACCACATTATGCTTATTGCACTTATGAAATCTTGTGTGTCAAACAATATTTATCACTGCATCCAAGAAATTACGAACAGAACCTGGTATTTGTAAGTGATATAATTTTCGCAGGAGACTATAATGGGTTTAATAAAATATTGTTGGTGGAAACTGAGCCTGAGAGCGACATTCAAGAAATGTTTTTCTTACATTTCAACGATGGTACCGTAAACTTATCATGGCTTGGAAAGTAGGACGTACGTATGTAGTTTATGGATGGTATACAGCTATTGTTCATAGGAAGAAGATAGTTCAGAAATAAGGTGTAGAGCAGAATAGATGTGTCGCGGAAAAAAAGGGTGCCTGAACAGAAAATTGCCATTCTAATAAGGAGAAATGCCAATAATGCACCAGGTCATACAGAAGGTAAGGGAAATAATGTCCTTCCGCAATGTCAATTTTCTACTTTCAACTGTAGAGAGAATACAGCGGAGGTTTTGTAAAGACCACTTCGACGCTGAGAACCTGTCTTCACGCAACTTTGACCTAAACTACAAAATCAAGAAACAAAAAAATTGCCAAGTGTGAAGTGAAAATGCATGAAGTGTGAAATTTCGAAATACACACATTGTGATGACTGGTTACTGAAAACTCCAACGTCGTTGACAATGCTTGTGGGTTAATTTGGGGACGAATTTCAAATTTTATTGTAATGCTTACTGCTGTATTTACTGTAGTTGTTTTATATTAAACGTTAAGATACAAAAGAATAACATTTACAGACTTTTACTCGCTTTGAGTTCATCCCCAGGAACACACAATGGGCAATTGTCATTGATCCCACAGCAACTTATGATGCGCACTCCCATCTCAATATTTTCCTTTTTCGGGTAGATCCAGCATTCGCTGACAAAAAATGTTGGCGAGGCTTAAGCTCCAAAACACATCCATCACTGATCGCACACACGCTCACTGCCTCTCTACACTTTGTAGAAAATCCCTTTGTCCACTTCCTTGGGCAATGCAAACGAAATGATTGCATATGGTCAATCCCAAGCGACAATGCGCAGCAAAGAGGCATTGGGAGAGCGGGCGGCGACGGAAGCAGCGATCCATCACGCGAGGCGAGGCGCCGCGAGGCAGGTAATTGGGACGGGCGGCGCGGAAAAAACTCCCCGCGCGCGTCCACGCCGCTCCTAACAAGGGCGATCCGCGCGGCTCGGCACCGGAAGCGGCACCGGGAGCGCACTTCCGGCTTGCTCCCTCGGTCGCCCCGCCGCCTTGAACGGCGCGAGCCACGCTGCTCTCGCCCCCACACCCACACCCACATCCACGTGGACAGGAAATTTCCCGTCTTCAGGCACCTGTGCTCGCAAACCCTGCAGCTTCGGCACTGAGGCACCACTGGCAGCAAGCAAACCTTGGCTTGTCAGAGAGATTAACAAGGGAGTATCCGAATCTGCTTCCACGAGTGATTAAAAAAATCTTTCGAAAGGTACAGTTTTACATAATTGAGGATAAAGAATGTAAAAAGTTGAAAGTTATACACTCACTCAATATATTTACCGCTAATACCAAAGGAGTATTCACACTCCGACTACAACTGGATTTTTGATGAACTACTAGGAAGCATTTCTGATATTTCCCACGCGAATGAAACTTTAATTTTCGCACATTCAGCGTTGTCGGAGATGCAACACATGCGTTTCCTAGGAAACAAATAATGATGCGCGCTTTTGAACGACGGAGTTCCGGCAACTGTTTTCGCTTCTTCGAGCGGCCGAATAAATATGTGGAAAAACACCTCTGTCAACGACGATGCCGTCGCTCATCAGCAGCAGGTCCGGAAACGCGTCATTCGCAGGAAAAGGCGTTTCTCGAGCGGAGGGGCAGGGGCGAGCGCGCCCGCACGTGGGCAGGAGCGGCGAAGAAGGCGGTGCCACGGGCACGTGGTCCACGGGGGGCGCCGATCCGCACGTGGCGCCACCACCTTTCCGTGCGGCGAGGAGAGACCAACACAAAAATTTATATTAAAAGGCCGCTACTGCCATTCACGTCATTTCCTAGCGGCCGTCAACAACAGGCAGAATAAAAAAAGGAGCGTTGTTTTTCATCCGACCTTTCGACGACGACGACGGTGCCTCGGCATGGTTGCCTGCCGCGACATATTGCCGGTAAACAATGGGCGTAAGCCCCCGCCGAGGAGTAGAGCGGGCGCCGGGCGCCGGGGGCGGATTATGTGACCCGGGGCGCGGGCGCGGGCGCGGGCGCGGGCGCGGGCGGGGACAAAAGGCGGCCAGGGGAGGCGAGGCGAGGCGAGGCGCGCCGCGCAGGCGGCCGTCGCCTCCCGAGGCAGTCGGTGCGCCCCGTCTGAGGCTTCCGCGGCCGGCCGGCCGCCCGGCGCCCGCCTTTTGTGTATCGAGAGCTTCGCCAGCAAACAACCCCGGCTTCTTACAGGTTACGTTTCAATAGCGACACTGTATCTCGCGCCGCGCGGCAACACGGATGGTGACGGCGGGGGCGGGGGATCGGCGAGGGGGAGATGGACCGCGTATTGGGGCGAGAGCGCGGCGTCGAGTTTCAGAAGAACAAAGACAGCAGCCGTCTCGGGCCGGAGGCTCCCACAGCGACGGAGCTCATCCCGCTCAGGGCCAATTGCACTGCTCAGGCGCACCTCGCGCGGTTCTTCCACATCACAAACAACAAGACAGAACCAAACGGGCGATGTTTCAGAAGAAACATTTTTACAAGTTTGGACTACACTCTTCTCAATTTTTATGACAATGACACATGGCTGTACAAGCGATTGACGGGCGTTGGCGCTTTTTACTCTCACAAAGATACAAGTTTTAGAAGTACGAAAAGTCTTTTGAAAAAGTTAACTTTGCCATTAGAGTTTTCTCTCTTTATTTCTGATTACTCTCAAATCCTGTTTTAGATTTAAAGATATTATGGAAAGGTTAATATTGACGTTAATTCAACTCCAAACCTATCTTATCTTGTAAAATAAACAAGTGATCTGGAAATCTTACCTGAATGAACAGCCACGATGTAAGAAGAGCCAGTCCGCTGTACTGACCGTTGAAACGATAATGGTACGCGTAAAAGGAGAAGTGATACAGGTAGAAGAATCTGCAACAAACAAAAACCTTTTAAATGAGGAAATACTATAGATGCGTTGAATTTAGTTTGTCGAAGATATTTAAAAATAAGCATTTAATTAGATTAAGATATTACTGTAGAAATATAATGGCTTAGTTTACAACACATATTTCTTAATTCAAGTTTCGATAAATGCGTTCAGTGGGAAAACGTTTCTTGGAATAATCAAACTTAAGTTGGAAAAGTTCAGTAACTTCAGAAACAATCCACACCAAGACAGCAAACAGCACATTATGTACCTCCTGAGAAACTAAAGTCTCTCATTTCAGTCAATTCCATTTACTAGTTCGCCTTGCTTGTCATTTTCACAGCAATCGCCGCTAAAATGGCAATAAAACCTGCATGTACGTGCATCAAGCGCAACGCCGGCTTTCGTCGGCGGGTGAGAGGGCGGACGCAATGGCCGGGGCAGAGGCTCTCCGCCCCGCGGCCATCTCCCGTCTCTGCCGTCGCCCTCCCCCTCGCCCCCCCCCCGCGGGCGCTCTGCGCCGCAATGTGCGTCTCACAGGAAACAGAAAGCCCAATCAGCAACGTGTTCAAAGAGGATATCTTTCCGCATTTCGTCATGAAAATTATGATTGAAAAGGAAAGTAGTTGTGCTACAACACGGTCATAGACTTTCTCGTAAAATGGCCTGATAAGAAGCTCAAAACTTTACAATTTAACACCTACGATCCACTTCTTAAAATAATATGAGCTTATTTGCGGCATCTGTGACCAACAATCACATTTATAAACCCTGAATCTACACTTGAATAATTTTCAATATAATTTGTAGGCATAGTAGCAATACTCTAAAGCTTATTACGTTTCAAATACTTCATCCTTCGCATCAGCAAATTACATTTTCTTGAAAATTCGCGAAGTATACTCAAAATGTTATAGAACCCAAAATTTAGAGAATATTTCAACTAAAATGAAGTTTTTTTTCGTTACTGTAATATTGATACTTTATATATTGTTTGAGAAAAAAATACCTTTTTTTTACATTTCCTTTCTTTTTGGGCCCCTCAATCGTTAAAACAAAATGAGACTCTCGAAATATCGTAGAAGAAAATACGTCTTCCTAAAAGAATCTTTGTATATAAGAATTTTTAAAATAAAAATGGGAATAGTCATTGAGAAAATGTCGTTACACCATTTTTAATATATGCAAATTATGAACCTATGCTATTTCCATCTTATGTAAATGAAAAACCATACGCAAAAAATAAATGTTATATGAATCTCTGTTTTTGTAAAGCAACAATTCAATACTGTGAATTGTTCACAAGTAATAATTTAAATGTTTCATTCAAATACAAGCAGATGATGTTAATTTATAGTTGTAATAAATAGTTGAGTATTTAACTAGCGACTGGCGTGAATACACTACAGTAAACCTGATCGCAGCTATTGTGTCGATGGACGTCCGGACCTCAACACATTGGATTATTTTCTGAGGCATGATTTTTAGGCAATATTTCAAAAACGGCACTGACTTATCGATAAGTAAAGAGAAGTGTTCAAACAAACTTTCACTGCCAGATGACAAATCCTTAAGAAAATATTGATTCAAATTGCAATATTTTTAACGAGTTCACAAGGGTTCATGACATAAATTATATTTTTTTTAAATTCATATATGTTTCTCTTGTAACTAAATTTATACTATTTTCGTAGACACCTACATGATCTACACGATTTTTGCTGCAAATACACACACACACACACACACACCGGTGTAATTGCATTCACCCTCAAACTCTCCTCCAACGGGTTCGTAAGTGGATGACACAATATTTCTCCGCCGTATCCTTTATTGATACACTTTTAAAAATAATTCTGATGACTTTTGTATTGCAGTGCATAGGGTACGACGATTAGGATGAATTCCGCGCCGATGAGCGCCGCGTGACGCACGGGTAGAGTTCAAGGGGACCTGTATTCCGCCGAATTCGCAGTGGGGAGAACAGGGCCTCTACCAGCGAATATTTCAAAGCAACCCAGTGCGCGCACAGCGGCGCTGCATTCGACAGGGCGAGGAAGTGCATACTGCTCTAGCAGCAGTACTTATTTGAATATTTTGTGAGAAGTTAAAATTAAAAGTAACTGAAAAAATCGTAGGGGGATTTTCCTCGTTCCCCCCTCCCCCGTGGTTCCGTGCCCGCATTCACCTTGCTTCTCGAGGGCTTGGTACCAAAAGGAGCGCACCCGGTCAAACACTGAAGTTGCTCCCAAGACGCCAACAAATGCACTCAGTTGCCCGGAGAAAGAAAAGTTCAACAAACCCTAACACACGAAACGTGTCTCCAATATTTCACAGTACGCAGTTATGAGAATTGAGTACTCGCAGGTCTGGCTCAGGAAGCTCTCCCCATAGATGACGTCATTTATATGAAAGCAAATGTCTAAAACAAATTTTACGCGATAAACATGACATAAATTGTTGCATGTCCTCCTGACATGATATGTTACCAGGACATGATATGTTACCAGATGTATTTAGTTGAAACTGCGATTTCCGTGCTACGCTTCTTTGAATAAGGCACATTTCCATCAAAATGACAGAGTGTCCTCTATTACAAATCGTAGTTATCAAAAGTATTCACCCATGGAGAAGGGCGATCGAGCACCGTATACAACAGATCCTTGTAACTTTTTAAAAGGGCTGAAATCATCCCCTTTGACACACGGGCTACGTGTGAGTATCTTTCTTCCCTCGGGGCCGCCCCGCCCAAGGAGCACGCGCGCCAAGCGAGCCGCTGCAAAGCAAACAGGCCGCCCGCCCGCCCGCCCGCCCGCCCGCCCGGCTATTAGATTAAGTCGTCGCGGGCGAAGAATGGAAGAAAGGAGCGCTCGGCCTCGGGTCACCTGCGCCCGCACCACGCTGCCTGAGCATTGGGAGCCGCACAGGGCGATGAGAAGGGCGGCCGCCCCCTACACAACGAGCGGCTCGACAATGCCCTCCGCTGCACGGCTAATTAACAGAAACACACACACACACACACACACACACACACACACACACACACACACACACACACACGGCCTATTGCCTACCCGGAAAACAAACGGCTCTTCCGCTCGCATTTAATAAACTAAAAGGCCGAATTCAGCAGTGACAAGGGAGAAACGACGAAACACCGAAGTAAGCAATGCACGAGGGAGATATCAAGGCGCGCACCAGTTACGTCATCGGATGAACGAATACGAAACTTCCTTGGCCCTGAGAGTGAAACGCTGCAATGAAGCAATACACCAATTGCCTACCGCACACGGAGAATAAACTATTTCAAGTTATATTTAAATCAACTTCTTTGGACTGCCTTATCGTAAGACGGAGAACAGGAATTTTCTTCAAAAATTAATCTTAACACATGAAAATGCACGTAGTACATTTTAGTGCCCTTTCATGCTAAAGTTGACATTTTCATACAGATGCTAAAGGGAAACGCAATAATACAAACAGTAGAGAATACGTAGTCAATTAAGTACGTTTTGGTAGGCAATCCTCCAACTACCCAAAATATTCTTAGAAAACTAGACTAAAAAATAACGAATATAGAAAACACATTATCGTTCATTTCCATTTTTACATTCCGTTAGTGAACTTCCTTTGTGAATTACATTTTTAGTCAAATTTTCGTCACACTTTTACTTTCTTAACGAGCAGAGTTTGAACTCAACTTTTGCCAAAGGAGAATATTGCATGTACAGTGAAAATATTAAATTCTTGACGTGAGACTGTTGTGCAAGCATTCGCCCACATATCTGTCTCATAACTGTCTGGGAAGGACGTGTCTCAGCCAAGGCGCCGGTCTCGCCCCTGCACTCGAGCGACGTGTCGCGAGCACACGATCGAGCGGCAACGCCAGGGCGTGCGCCGACGGCGGCCGGCGCCCTCAGCGGAGCGGGAGGCTTGGGCCGGGGTGGGGCGCTTCGCCGAGCACATCTCTCAACGTTGGAAAAGTAAAATTGGAATATGGCTTCAGGCACAACACGGCCAAGCCGTTAGTCACTAAATGTGGAATTCAACCAGTGTGATTTTGTGATTCAACTGACTGTTTCCATCTCATTTGTTGCCATGTCATATAGGAAAGACATTATTTCTATTTACATTATTTACGATTATTACCAACTTTCGACCAACTTTAAAAATAACTTCCTTGAAAGAAATCGAAGCGCACGCACTAGTTCCAGAAAAAAGAGTTTAGAGGGTGCTTAAACATCTTTAAAAAAATGTAAAACATAAGCCTTGAATTGCACGTCTGTCTGGTGCGGTAAGGAGCAAACCCTTAGAAGCTTATCCTAAGCTTTCCTAATTGTCAAAATGCATAGATCGACAAGCGTGTATATCAGCCAGAGATTTACGGTGTACGATTAACAACGCTGTTCAGCCGTGGCGCAGAAAGTACATCGTCACTGTGCCTCAATCTCAGCCCCAATGAATCGTTTTAGGACGAATTTATCCACCTACTTCGAAAAATGTCGCTATAGACGACATCACATTTTAGAAGATCTGGAGCAAAACATCATTAATTATATGTGATAATAAACATAATTGAAAGAACATTTTTCACCCTCTAATTTTCCGTAGTTTCGAAAACTTTGTTTTCGAGAGCAAATTTTAGAAAGCCTGAAAGCATTTGGTGGAGCCATACGGAGATGAAAGATTCCAAACTAAGCATTCACGTGCCCCCTCCACCTAATCCCAGCGCCAGAAGGCGTAACGGCCTCGCCTTCCTCTCAGCCCGTCTGCCGCTCCCCTCGCTTCGCCACCCGGGGCGTGGCGGGCGCGGTAAGCGAGGCTGTCGGTGTCACGTCTGGCAGCGACATTTCAGCGGTGGCGCGCAGTGGCGGTGCGGTGGCGTGCGGTGGCGGTGGCGCCTCGAGACGCCTGCGGGGGCGGCGGAAAAACGTCGACTCACACCGCCCTTCGCCGCCGCTGCCATGTCACTGCGCTGCCGTGTCCGTGTAACGTCTCAGTAGCCGAGTCGTCGCACCGCCAGTCCGGTGGGAAGGCGGGGGCGTGGTGGAAGCAGCAAGCGCGAGTGAGCGGGGGGCCGGGCGGGCGGGCACAATAAGGCGAGGCCGCCCTGCGGGGCCGGCGCCGACAAGGATATCCATTAGGGGCGTCGCGACGCGCCGCGCGCCGCGCGCGGCGACGCGCTAGCTCGCCGCCCAGTGTGGGAGCGGGCTCGCGCCCGCCCCGCCCCGCCCGCCGGCGCGCAGTGATCGACGGTCAGACAGCGCCGTCAGAGGGCGGCGCAAGAAAAATTGATTTCGACAACTGCGGTGAGAGGCGCGCTCCGAGGACCGCG